AAGCCAATGAGCCATTATTTGGAACCTCAATAAAACGGATTTAAAAATATGTGAGCGGAAACGCAGAAAGAACTGCTTTGAAAGAACTAGAAGAAATAACTGCTAGCATACTTTACAAGTGAGAGGAAACATGCAATTGCAGGCAAACTCATGAAGACAATCATTCAAAAATGCTGTGCTACCATACTTTATAACTAAGAGCAACAAAGACAAAATCATTTAATAGAAAAAAATAGTTGTACGTATGTTAATTTATAATATGCATAGTTGATCACTAAATTTAGGGGCTATGTGCGCTATAGGCCTATAGACTGATTTACAACACGTGAATTCATTCATTTATCCCAAAAGAAATGGAAGCGACATGAGTGTCTGGTGAAGAGGGAGAAAAATTGAGTAGCCTATATTTTATAGTTATATATACAATACTCATTTTGTGAAAGAAACACTTCTTCATATGATATTTTAAATAATCATTAGGCCTATTGCCGCTTGTCCACTTCAGATATTAGGCCTAATGTGCATTTTTTCTTCTTCAAATTATAGCTAAATGCTTTGCAATGATAAATTTTCAATCTTGATTAAATCAAGGTTTATCTAATAATTCTTTTGCACCAAACTTCAAACCTTTAAAAATAAGCAGGTTTACATTTTAACCCATCATTTTGATCCTGGATTTAAGTTATATTTAAGATTAACTTTAATCCTGTTGCACCATAACTTTAAACTCAGATTTAAATCTCGATTATGGATTAACTTTACACTTAACGGAGGTTTAAATACAATGAAATGCACATGCAAATAAAATATGTAACTGATCGAACAAAAACAGTGGAGATCTGACAAAAACAGGTCTCAGAGAGGTGTTTATTACAAATAAAAAAAGTAAAAATTAAAGCACATCGAGCGGGATGCCCGGGATGCGTATCCATCACTCTTGGTGCACCTCGGTGTCGAGCAAACAAAATCAGTGAAAAGGGTATAACTGCAGCCTGGAGATCTCCAAATGGGGGCGGGAACTCCAAAACGGGGTGGGAGCTCCAAAATAGGGCGTGACTTCCTCCCATTGACAGACAGGCACATGACACGCATGCACATTTTTTTCCCCCAATCCACTTCAGTGCAAACTCCACCCCACAAAGATTTTACTGGTTGTGTCAATTAAAGTGTTGATTTCCTACACTATACTACAAAAATGCTAACCCGTAAACCTACCCCACACCTGACCCTAACCTTAACCAGTGAAATGGACTGCATGGTGGGATTGGCGCTGAACAGCGTGGTAAAGAAAGATGCAGTTCAGGAGATAAACAGTTAATAAGATTATGCGATATGAATCGTTCCGTAACTCCCCAACCGGACCTC